CAAAAATCCTGAAATAAGATTTTAAAAAATTTTGTTTGGCATGGGAGTGGGCATGGAGTGGGGAAGAAGATCAACAGATAGTCGAGTTTTCTTTGTTATCATTTTCACTAAAGTACACGAGCCTCCCAAACTGAAATTTTAAAGACAGAAACAGTAGTTAAGCTGAAATATTATGTATTGAACGCTAACTCAGGTTATAGTACACTACATCCACACTGTATCAGGATCAGGAATATTTTTTTTTTTTGAGATGGAGTCTTGCTCTGTTGCCCAGGCTAGAGTGCAGTGGTGCGATCTCAGCTCACTGCAACCTCCGCCTCCTGGGTTCAAGCAATTCTTCTGCCTCAGCCTCCCGAGTAGCTGGGATTACAGGCACTTGCTACCACACCTGGATAATTTTTGTATTTTTAGAAGAGATGGGGTTTCACCATCTTGGCCAGGCTGGTCTTGGAACTCCTGACCTCGTGATCCACCTACCTTGGCCTCCCAAAGTGCTCGGATTACAGGCGTGAGCCCCTGCACCCAGCCAGGAATAATTATTTTAAATAGTTGGTCAGAAGAACATACAAGGTAAAGAATTATCCCGTAGCTTCCCGGACTGTTTGCTAGAGATACTAGTCTGACTTCCTGCAAGTCTGACTTGTAGATGGTAAACTGGCTTCCTGGTTTGGTTACTGTAGATAATGGGTTGATTTCCTGGGTTGGTTGCTGCACACTGTAGGTCAGAGTTCTATTTTTATATATGGTCTGGCCATTGTTGGTTGATATATTATCTCTCAGTACATATGTGTATGTATATATGTGATGTATATGTGTGCATGTATGTTTATGGATTATATATCATTTATGTTTATGTGTGTGTACATTTGTGTGAACACACATATGAATATGTGTGTATGAGTATGTGTGTCTCTATGTATGTGTCCAGCTCTGCGTATGTTTCTCTTTCTGAACTAGGCTGTGTTTAGGAGCAAGTTGACCATGATAATGGGAATTTTGAGGAGAGTTGAGGTTAGGGGGCTGAGGAGATGGCACACATTAACATATTCTGTCATGATAGGGACCTTGTGAAAGATCATTCTCAAAAGACAGTGGTTAGTAGCTGCAGGCTCATGTGGGGCCTGAGATGAACAGGCCTAAGATCTCCTCCTATAAAATATACAGAGCAAGATGTGGTTTTAAAATGTGTATAATTAACAAGGCTGAAGTACACAGCTAAGATACACTACGTGGTCATTTTGGGGGAACGATGTGTCTCTAGAAGTTACCTTTAAGAGTGGCCACAGACGGGAACATGAAAAGAAGACTTTACTCTCACCCCTTTCTCTCTATCCCAGTGACTTGGTTTAATGGTCATCTTTCCTTTTGTCTCATTCTTCCAGAGGCATAGTAATGGGCTCGGGATATATGACAGGGAGGAGAAATTTCTCATCTCAAATGAAAAGATGACATTTTCTGAAAATAGTTTAAAGTCTGAAGAACCTATCCTATGGACCAAGGGTGAGATTCTTGGAAAGGGAGCCTATGGCACAGTAAGTTAAACTGGAAACTTGAAATCAGCACTCCCCACCCCTCCACAGTCCCTCCCTCCGCCCCCCTCACTCCCCAGTCATCCTCCCTGCTTCCTCTGGCAAGCACTTTTTTACTTAGAACTCTTTCAGTTGAAGTAACAGAAAATCCAAGCACTGAGGGAAAGGACCGTTACTGCTTTATCCAATCGAAACGTCTAGAATAGGTCAGGCTCTGGGCTCAGATGGCTTCAGGAGTCAGACGATGTCATCAGGATCTGGTCTCTCTCTCTGGCTCTTTCTCAGGCACATATAGCGATACAATGGCCACTGCATTTCTAGCCTCTCATCCTCCCAGGTTCAAGTCCAATGGGAAAGAAATATCTTCCTTTGATTGGGCGCAGTGCCTCACGCTTGTAATCTCAAAACTTTGGGAGGCCGAGACGGGCAGATCACGAGGTCAGGAGAGAGACACCATCCTGGCTAACACGGTGAAACCCCATCTCTACTAAAAATACAAAAAATTAGCCGGGCGAGGTGGCGGGCGCCTGTAGTCCCAGCTAGCAGGAGAATGGCGTGAACCCGGGAGGCGGAGCTTGCAGTGAGCCGAGATCGCGCCCCTGCACTCCAGCCTGGGCGACGGAGCAAAACTCCGTCTCAAAAAAATAAAAATAAAAATAAAATATCTTCCTTCAACAGCTGTATATGTTACTGGAAGTTTGGAGAATCATTGGTAGATGGCAAAAACAAAAGATGTTCCTTACATTTTGTGAACTGTGTAAGAGATCTTGGAGGGTGGGGGGTGAAGACAGGTGGGTACAAACATACAGTCAGATAGAAGAAATAAGTTCTAGTGTTTGATAACCCAGTAGGGTGACTATAGTCAACAACAATATATTGTGTATTTCCAATTAGCTAGAAGATTTGAAATGCCCCCAACACAAAGAAAATGACAAATGTTTAAGGTGATGGATGTTCTAAACATGCTGTCTTGATCGTTACACATTCTATGCATGTATTAATATATCACATGTACCTCTTAAATATGTACAAACATTATATATCTAAACCCTAGCACTTTAGATAGTTATTTACATAGACGAGTAAAGAAAAGGCTGGCCCCCAAATAAGACTTGTGCTGTCTCCAGATGGGGACATTTCAGGAATCAGTGAGAAGATAGGAAGACACAAAACCACTGAGATTACATCACAAGGGTGATTTCCAGGGCCTGTCTCCTCGCTCCAGAGAGCTTGGGAGCTGAACTAGCTGTATTTGACGTATTGTCAGGAGCTTTTCCAAACCACCATCTCATGTAGTCATCATAGAAATCTGGGAGGTAGGCCAGGTGTGGTGGCTCTCGCTGTAATCCCAGCACTTTGGGAGGCTGAGGCAGGTGGATCTCTTGAGGTCAGGAGTTCGAGACCAGACTGACCATATGGTGAAACCCCATCTCTACTAAATACAAAAATTAGCCAGGTGTGGTGGCACACACCTGTAATCCCAGCTACTCAGGAGGCTGAGGCATGAGAATTGCTTGAACCCAGGAGGCAGAGGTTGCAGTGAGCCCAGATCATGCCACTGTACTCCAGCCTGGGTGACAGAG